CTTAGAGCATAATTAAAACAGGTTAAGAATGAACGAGCCTAAGCAATTTTTTATTTATTTATGAGGAGAGATAAGATGCATATATATATATATAAAGCTTATAATGGGTAAGGAGTGCTAAGTGCTCCACTTTGGATTCACCTTAACAATTTAAATTAGTATTTATATAATTAGATCATTTTGTTGAATTATAAAATCACATTTGCCATCCAAATATTTTTATGAGGAATAGATATCATCACATGGCAATCGAAAAAGACTTATTTGATATTTAAAAAATATATTTTTTTTTTAAAAAAAAAAAACCTGAAATATTAGATATGAAATCTAAAGTGAATTGAACCACGGACTTTTGGGCCAGAGAGAGAAGTACGACCTTTTTGGAGGGTTAGTATTTAAGTTGCAGCTTTAAAAACGATCATGTGATCGTTAAAATTGTGTTTGGAACCATCATTTACTATTACATAAGAATAATTATTTCATAAAAAAGATTAAAAGAATAACTATTTCATTTTAATAAATCAAACAATAGACACTTCTTGACTTTTGAATTAATTTAGTGGATTGAATATAAAAAGATCACGAAAATGATTAGGGGAAAATAGATGAATTATGTAAGATTAATTATTTATTTTAATATGGACACCTATTAATATTATTATCCCTTTATGCAAGTTATCCAAAGAAAGACATATATCCCCAATAATGGAGCTTTCAATGCAATTCTTGAAGCCATGATATTGCATCCACATTTAGGATGGAACATCATGCAAACATTCATCGTTATCTCGGTTGTCAATCAACAACAATCTCATGTTAGATAGTTTGACGGCGCTTTCACGCGTACCATAACTTTCAGTTAAGATGAATGATCCAACACTAAGGGGCTGTTTGTTAAAATTTGTCTTAAATATGTAGCCGGGACATCAATCTTGGATTAGCTTCTTACTCGTTTCCTAGGACCTTCATCGAGAGTCGTACTCCAAACATAGGATTGGGATAAAGAGAAATCGTACAATTTGATCCTGGCATGGGATAAGATAATAATAGTACAATTTTTTTTGGATCGAGATAATAGTACAATTGGATCAGGATAGATCTTATCCCATTCGACTTCAAATCCGGACTTACTATTTTAGTTGTAAAATGACCAGTTACCCCATACAACCCAGGCTATACTCGTGTTCTCATTGGTCGATGAATCAGAATATCTAAGTATGTTTGAAACATATTCAAAATTAGGAGTGAGTATAGTTTGTATTGATTCAAATCAATATCAATTTATTATTTACGATTTTATTAAATTTAGAATCAAACTAATTCATAAAATTTTTGAAACTAATCCGAATCGAACCACTAAATTTTGGTTGAGTTTGGTTTGACATTATAAAATTTAAAAATATTATCATTATTCATAATATGATTACAAAATATTATTCACAATCTAATAACGTTTACAAGATTATTTAAAACTAATTCTATCACTATACAAAAATATACTTATAATTAATAGGTGACCCATGAGATGTACGAGAATTTAATTTTAATATGAAATTTTAATTTTGAGTCTTAATACTTTATGTGTAGAATATTTTAACAATTGAAAATCAAATACAAACATATTTGCTAATGGCTGATGAAAATTTTTGTCGCTGTGTGTGTGATCTTATGTAAAAAACTCATAAAAACAATTTCTTTCAAAGTTATAAAAAAAAAAAAAATGTGTATTCTCGACCTGAAATCAAATTTTCATTTGTGTTAATCAAATTTATCAAAAATCATGAATTCCACTTGTATCAAAATATTTTTTTAAAAAAAAATAAAAATAACAAAAAATTCTATAATATACAAATTATAACTTGGTTATAACTCATAGTGTATTATATTATGATATATGTTACAAAAGTATAATTTTAATTTTAATTATTTATTTTAATAATCTTATCGTTATCGTTGCATAAAAGTGTTACTTGAATACTTATATATAATAAATTTAGTTACATTATTTTTTTATTTTGATAATTTTGGTTCTATTATGCTATAAAAGTATAATTATCATATAATAATTTTATATGATATATATTAAATTATAAGATATTAAAATAAACACTCATTTTGATATTAAAAATAATAATTAAATTAGAAAGAGAATTAACAATATAAAACTAAAATCGATTCTAATTATTTATTTTTAGAACTACACAAAACTTATTTAAAAGATTAAATATAAATATGTTGTGATTAGATTAAGAAGAAAATACATAAATTAATTATGTAGAGCATTGATTTTCTTTAATATTCTTTTTGAATTATTCAAACATATTGTATATAGGTATATAAAATTAAAATAAAATATACATGTTTTATAATAAATAATTTAAGACATCAATAAGATAGGCAAAAACTAAAAATATTTAAAATAAAATTAATTTGATCAGTGCGATGCACATAATTAACTGCATTATGTCTTATTTATTTATTTATTTGTATATTGAGATAATTCTCTTTTCAAATATCATAATAATTAAATTAAAATATCAACTATATAAAAGAAATCTGACTACGACAAAACTGAATACATGATGAAAAATAATCTATGCAATGCACGGGAAGTTATTTTTAAAATGGAAAATTGATTTTGAATCTTAATACTGTGTAAAAAAATTTAACAATTGAAAGTCAAATACAAACAGATTTGCTAATGGCTGATGAAAATTGTTCTCACTGTGTGTGTGATCTTATGTAAAATTCTCAAAAAAACAATTTTTTTCAAAGTTAAAAAAAAAAATTGTACTCTCAATCTAAAGTGAAATCCTTATTTGTATTAATTAAATTTATCAAAAATCATGAATTTCACTTGTTATCAAAATATTTTTTTCTGAAAAAAAAAATAAAAACAACGAAAAATTTTATAATATACAAATTATGACTTGATTATAACTCCTTATTTTGGTTATCAATCGAAAACATCTTTACTCATTGCTTATGTTTTTTGTTATGTCTAAAATGGTACATCAGGTCTTTAATTATGTTTCAAGTGGTGTTGGATTATGATTTATTATAATACTTTTATATGACAATATTTAAGTATTTTATTATACGAAAGAGTGCTTAAGGTGGATTGACTAAAAGATAAAATTTATGCTTATATCAGTAAGATCGTAAGAGTTATTTACATTGATGTAAAAAAAATTACAAATTCAAATTATAGATCGTGTCCTAAAAGGGAATCAAGCACAAAATCTCTGTAACTTTAATAATTTTAGTTCTCAAAAGGGTTAATTATGTAACACATCATAATAACCACAAATTTTTTATTTTAGCTAAATTATTTTTACATATCTTTTATGGCAGAGCTCATAAAGTTGCATTATTAGTAATATTATAAATTCAAAATTTTGAATTAAAAATTATTCAAGAAACATCAATAGGTGCCTTAAATATACACAATCATTTTCAATGAATCATTATTTTTTAAAATAATATTTCACACTATTTATCATTTAACATTTCACAATTTATCTTCTAAAAATTTAACCCCAAAAAAGAGTATATTGAGATCCATTAATTTAATCAATAAATATCAAATTGGACTCTACACATGTATATAAATCACTTCTATAAATATGATGTGATATAAAATCACAATGAAGTTAACTTTAATTAATATAATAATATTTCATACTATGATATGTGTTACAAAAGAATAATATTAATTTTAATTTGAAATAAAATTTAAATTATTCATTTTAATAATCTTAACTTTATCGATCTATAAAGGTGTTACTTGAATACTTATATATAATAAATTTAGTTAAATTATTTGTTTATTTTGATAATTTTAATTCTATTGCACTATAAAAGTGTAATCAAATTACAATAGTAAAATAAACACTCATTTTGATATTAAAAATAATAGTTAAATTAGAAAAAGAATTACTAATATAAAACTAAAAGTAATTCTAATTATTTTATTTAAAAGATTAAATATAAATATATTGTGATTGGATTAAAAAGAAAATACATAAATTAAATATGTAGAGTATTGATTTTTTTGTTTAATATTCTTTTTGAATTATTCATATAAATTATATATACGTATATAAAATTTAAATTAAATACAAATATTTTGTAATAAATAATTTCATGTTAAATAAAAAATTAAATATAAATTAATATTAAGACATCAATAAGATAAGACAAAAAGTATAAAAAAAATACTAATTTGATCTATGTGATGTACATAACTTAAGCACATTTTGTCTTATTTATTTATTTATTTGTATATTAAGAATTTTTTTTTTCAAATATCATAATATTAAACTAAAATATCAACTATATAAAAAAATCTAACACGACAAAACTAAATACACAATGAAAAAATATATGAAAAATAAATATTTCTCAAATAAAATTCCTATAAAATTGTTTATTATAATTAAAATTGAATTTGTATAGAACTTTATATGTAAATAGAAAAGGCATGCTGATGTGAATTTTTTAGAGAAAAAAATAAATAAATAAACCTTTAGAATGTAACCACCTAAACAAGAGAAAAAACTCTCCAAAAAGTATATGATACTAATAAATATTTTAATATTTACATTAAATAACAAATTATATATACAATTTAAACAGTCAAGTTCAATTCCAACTAGATTCGTCCCTATAAAATCCTGTAAAGTACAGTTTACCTATTTCAAAAATCAGAACTGAATTGTATATTGAAAAAGCCAAACCAAACCGTGCGGTGCGATTTGATTTAGACTAAACCGGTTTACGATTTTTTCCCATTTTTACACGCAGCTCTATTCAAAACCACCACTTCAACGACATGCCCAGAGACATGATAGATAACTAAAAAAAATGTCCACTGGGAACAACAGAGAATTCTTTCCGGGAAAGCTGCAACCACATATGCTCAGAGACATGATAGATAACTGAAAAAAATGTCCACTGGGAATAACAGTTTGGAGATCAATCCTACAACAGAAAGTGACTTTCTATGGAGACTTCAACAAGGTGTATCACTGTAGAAACTCTGAAGCAAATCTAAAATTTCAAGGAACGCAGCAATCCGACAATCTAATTTGAACCTAGGTGAAACCCAAATTTAAATTATCCGAGTACAACATTTTCAAGGACAGCAATCCGACAATCTAATTTGAACCTAGGTGAAACCCAAATTTAAATTATCCGAGTACAACATTTTCAAGGAGTACAGAATACCAGGGCTTTGCCTAGTCAAGAAAAAAGCTGAACCGTTATGGACGGAAGAACAGAAGTATTCAAATAAGATAGTAAAAAGATGGGCTTCAGTGCTATTGGAACGGGATTGTCAATCCATCCTCCCCTTGAGAATCCTTTCTGTTACTTCAGTTGGTGTGCTGCAACAAAGCAAACAAACCCATTTGCATCTGTATTAATTAGAAATGTACTTAAGAAAATGAGAAAGTGAATGCACCAATGAACTTGACAATACTTCTCCAAGAAGTAGACAGATGAAAAGTCTGTAATTTAAACAATTGTTAATTTTGAATCCAGCAGAGCAAACTATGATCCCCAGAGAAAAGAAAACTCCGCAGCAAATGTTCATTTTGACTATTCACAAGATGGAAAATTTTGTCCTACAACCACTGGATTATCTTTTCTTTTCATCCATCTTGTCAACAGCCCATAAAATATTAGACAAACATTTATCTAGATGCAAGAAAATATAAACAAATCAACAAGATTCTGGCAATAACATACCATGAAGTCTATGGCTCATGTCTATGATGCTTAATTTACTCTCCATGATCTTACATTTGCATTCTCGTTATCACAACCAATTAGATAAAAAATGTAATGCTCCCAAGAGATAAAATATGTTATGAGAAGATGGAGAGCAAGACTTACACAACATAAACGTGCCCTCCCCAACCACTCAGACAGTCACGATCTACTGATGATAGCAGTGCTTGGGAGATAGTCTCAAACAATTCTTCAGGTTCCTGGATGATAGTTGAACCAAATGTTACAAATAACTAATTTGAGTTGATTAGCAATAAGAAAGAACTTTGAACCATGAGATTGTTATTCTTCCTCAGCTGGAGAAAATCATCAATATGTGGAAGTTTACAAGCATGATGACGGAATTAAAATCAAAAACATGAATTCAATCAAAAGTAGTTGGCTAGTAAACTAAGAGAAGTTCCAGTAAGTTGAGCTTTCTTCACCTTTCTCCTCCTTACTATTCAAATAATTCTAGATTTGCTGTTAAAGTATCAATTTTTCTGAGTCACTGGTACAATGCGTCCTTCTAAAAGCCTAACTGACCACCCCAGGAAGCATTATACCTACTTTTTCACTGGCATAATTTAGTTTGTAAGGTTTTGTAGTATCACTAATTTGACCCATTAAGAAGGGTATTTTGCTGGGAAACTGTTTAGCAATTAAGAAATATAGTGATATAAATACACAGATCTTTGTATATGACCAAGTGAAGAAGACGAATGTTGGTTGAGCACCAAAAACTTGATCATTCACACAAGTATCACATGAATTGAAGTGTTCTAGGAAAATGATAAACAAAGGTGTCAGATGTAAACAGTACTCCTGCTCAAATATCTATTTGAGCAGTTTCTGAATCCTATTCTTTAGAAATTCTACTTTACTAGAAAATAGAAAGTCAAAACTAATGCTACGATTCCAATTATTAGGAATCATGTTCTCTTTAAGGTTACGAGTCACCTATTTACTAAGGCTTTTGCTTGTTCAGCCAATGCGCCTATACACATGCACAGAGCAGAAGTAGAAAGTCCTCGATGACATCTTTTCGCAAGTTCTCTAACAAAGGACAAAGAGTGGGAGAAAAAATGTTTACTCATAATTACAGCAAACACACTCACCTTTCTACGAATTCACCATGTTAATGTCTCAATAATGCATGACCTATGTGTCCAGTTCCGATGCCTATTCAACATGTATCCAAACTTATTCATGCCAAAAAATTAGGAGTGTTGGCAAAAGCCAACTAAATACCTAACTGAGAAACCAAATGCCACCAAACAAAGGATGCAGAAGGACAATTGAACAAGAAACAATTCAACGACGCAGTATTTGCACCACACCTCAAAAAATAAGTTACAAACTAGAAAACAAAAGCTACTAAATGTGTAACTCCATAGCTTGAGCCACAGTTTCTGTTACTTCATCTTATTTTTCCTAATTACCTTCTAAAAAATTCAACCAACATTAAACTCGTTTTGGAGGGTCCTTCCTGAAGTGTCAAATCAGAGCATGTAAGCATTCAACATTGCTACAAGATTCAATTCCATTCCAGATAAAAAAATAATAATAAATAAAAAATAACTCTGCGTCTTTACCTCATTCATCACTCTATTTAAATTAATATCTTCAGGGAGTACTTAATAAAACTGAAAATTTTTAGTTCTGAAATATTCATAAATTTCAGGCTATATTTTTAATGAAGAATTTTATCGAAATTACCTCCCATTAAGAGGATTTTACATTCAATGATTAGTCAAGTCTAACTGAGTTTACCACCACCAACAACAAAAAAAGTCTAACTTAGTTAAATTAAGATCCTTTTAAATTAATTTTTCAGAATAAAGTGACAAGCAATTGTGGGTTTCAATCACAATGAATTGGAAAACCACTGAATTATGTTTTCAGCACTTTACATCATTATCAAAACTTTAATGAATTTATGACTCTTTTTACAGCTCACGGCAAGATAATTGTCTTGAGGTGTGTCCAGAGGCAAGACGTGTGTCCATGATGTGTTCTTCAAAGTGTCCGGATGGAGAAAAAAAATTATAAAAAAAAGCACCCGCCAAACGTGGTGTGTCCAATACATATCCTAGGGTATCAGAGTGTGCCAGTGTCCGACACATGTCAGATATCGGGGCTTGCCAGTGTCGGACATGTGGAACACAGCTAACTGTCTATGCTTTATAGATGGTGATTGACCATTTTGGTCTGCCAGTGTCCGACACATGTGAGACACGGCACTCGTCTCACTTATACCTAAACACATTATGAATGACAAAACAAAAAGGAAACCCTATTTGCATAATTATAGGAATTTCTCCTGTACAAAATTACATGTACACTGACATTTCTTCACCATTAGAGAATGTGGGGGTCACTACCCACTCCACGTGATTTAATATCCTGCAAATATGTGCATATGGATGTCTTTTCTAGCCCATTAACTCAAGCTCAAACAGGAAGGTTTCGAGACAAGGCTTGAAAAGGTTTTGCTTCCTGAAACTGAATGTCTCACATTTTGATGACACAATGCATTAAGATTCTGCATGACAAATGCACACACTTTCCATTTGCAAATCAATTGAAATTTCATTTTGCAAAACTAATTCAAGTTAAACTGTGACATACCATGTCAGGCTTGAACATTGCCTCACAGGCACCATAGAGAGACTCAGAGGCTGACCCAGAAACAACAAAATCTTTTGCAAGCTCCCTGTATTCAACAGAAGAAAAGTAACAAGGAATAGAGTGTCAGTAGCATAAAAACTCTTTACCAACCAAGATCGATGACATTTAACAATATTGATCAAGACATGAAAAAGCTTCACTTTGGTTCTTGTGAAGGCCCTGAAAACTGCCTATGCAAGAGCACAACCATGAAATCTAATAAATTGTGAACACTAACAGATACATGTCAAAAAAACAAGTTCAGGTCAACAATAAAGCAGAAAATAAAAGCCTATTCACAATTTTTTTTTTCTCCATTATTGTCACTTGCTGAAAACATTAATGGACCATATGATGAGACTTTTTGCAGTGACTAAAAGGAGAAAAAGATCTAAATTTTACTCTCTTTTTGTGTGTGTTTGTCATTTGCTTGCTTTTTCTTCAACACATAAATAGGAACTCATAGAAACATGATAATAATGGTGTAGCTACTCATAGAAGAAAGGACAAGTTATTTGAAGACAACAAACATATGATAGTTTAACAAAGTATACAAGGGTAACAAAAAAAACCAATATCAAGTTCGATGTAAACTTAATGCATAGCACAAAACATAAAAGGCCAGATACAACTTGTACATTTCACCCATTACATTACTTCATTGGATGGATCACGACAAAGGCATAAGAAAAAAAAATGACGTCCAAATAATACACATTAACGTGTGTTTGAGAGGGGAAAGATTGGGTACACACCTAACCTTTAGCATAGTGCACAAACTGGTTGTCCCGAGACTTAAACCTATAACCTCAAGATTATTAGGCCAAGGTATAAAAAAAGAGTTAGAAAAATATTTTCCCTTTCCTATCATTTAAAACCAACACAGTTGGCACATAATCCTTCAGGACCACAAATTACAAGTCAACTTTCACGAAACTTATCTAACTAAATAATTAAGAAACAATCAACAATTTACTAGTTGGAAAATTAAAACTCTTAGGAGACATGCAACAAATATAATAGGGTAAATTACAGATATATCCCCTGAGATTTGATTAAAATATAAATCGCTCCCTGTGATTTTGAAAATTACATTCCACCCCTTGAAGTTTCTAATTTCATAACAAATTGCCCTTTTTATTAACAAATTATCAGGTCAATGAACAGTTTTTAATGATGTTAAAAATATGTTTCAATTAATAATTTAGGTCATTTTATTATTGTATAGGAGAGTAATTATGAATTTCATTTTTTTAGTTAATTTTGTTAAATAAAATATTCTAATAAGGGGGTATTTGTAATTTTTCAAATCACAGGGAGGGGGGCAATCTGTATTTTAAGCAAATATCAGGGGGTGTATTTATAATTTACCCAATATAATAATAATAAATAAATAACTTATCACAATAAGTAAGAACGTAAATGTACGGGGAGCAAATATTCCGGCGTGCCCGTATTCCTTTCTTCCAAGCTCCGTAATAAATAAATAACTTATCATAATAAGTAAGAACGTAAACAAAAAACATAGTGTAGAAGACAAGACAAATTACTCATAAATGAAAACTCTTATTTGTATTTTATCTAAATCACACATAAATAAATGGTATTCCCCTTTCTAAAAAAATAAAAAATAAGCCACTAGTTACTTGATTGCATTGATATTTCTAAAACAATGGAGAAAATTTGAGAAGAAAATTTACATACTTGGCTCCAATTGAATCCATTGTGCAAATGAAGGGCTTGTTTTCATCTCCTAATCCACCAATCACAGGTTGGCAAAAATATGGGCCAAACCTATGCAAAAAGAACAATTGAATGATCTTATGGCCTAAATGTTTCTCATTAAATAAAAACGAAGCAGAAGAGGAAAAGAAAAGAGAGTAAGGTAGAACATTAATGCTCAATAAAGAATCAAATTACTTTTGTCCAATGTCCTCTGCTCAGAAATTTTTATCTGGAAGTATATTAGAATGCAAGAGAAACTAAAAGCTTAAAAACAAACAAACAAACATAGATAAAAATCCATGGAGACTCCTCGACTTGCCTAGATAGACATGGGCGCCTGGTGACTTTTCAAACAGCTGTACTAATATGAGATTTATTCCTAAGTAGGCCCAGTGTGTACAAAAAAAAGCATGTGAAATTTGTTGACTTGGTAAACATACTATACTACAATTAGACCTTATTAAGTTCGACTAAACTTTTTGATTCAATTAATTATTGTTCTTTTCAATATTTTTTAAAGTTATGTATGTCAAAGAGAACTTCGAAAATCAAAAGATATGCAACATTTTGAGCCTACACATTTTAAATATATAAATAAGTCACAGATCATGGATCAATAAAGTCAAGGAAGCACCCGGGAAACAAGTTAACGTTGCTGACGAAATTGAGGATGATGAACATCTAATGTCAACTATGGTAAAGGCAGAAACAAGTAAGAATATAAATTGTGATGCAATAAGTTAACAGTGCCAAAACTAATGATGCAATTCATGATCCTAAAGGTAGAACAGTTTGTTTATAGACAAAATACTAATGATGGTTTTGTCTTCCAAACTAATGATGGCTTTGTCTTCCTATCAATTCTTAATACTTGAGTATTATGTAATGACACAATAGTTAACACATGTTTCATAACACAATTATTCCATCAAGTGTCTTAAGATTTTTCCAGTATTCTCCACAATTACAAATTACCATCCTCTAATTGCTGTATTCTGAAATTTATGCCTATCCTGAACGCCAGGGAACTGACAGTACCAAGTTTGATACCAATATTAACAATCAAAATCAAATATCCATCTCTAACTCTTCAACTAAACCAAAATTCATTTTTTTACGTATCTTGTTTTCACCAATCAATCCAAAGCCAAGCCTTAAGTCCCATCAAATAGGATTGGCTACATAAATCCTTCTTCTCCACTTGACTCTATCAAAGGCCATTTGATTAGTCAAATTAAAGAGATTCATATCTCTATTTACTACACTAGAAAAGTTCAGCCCAATATATAGAAAAGTTCAAACCAAAATTTCATAACCCAGGTTTGAAAATACAGTTAAACATTACAGCCAACTCCATTGCAAACTCTGTGTCCTATACAACATCTTATTTAGTTGAGTACACTTGTATGAGTATCCCTGAGCATGCAAGATGTTACATTACATACCACAAGACAGGAAAGGTACATTCCAATGTTACAAGGAACCCTTGTTCATAGTTTTAATTTGACTAAAGCAGACCATAATCATTTATGTACTTTTTAGTATAGACAGAATGAAGGTATTTTATTCTTCTCGAAATTCAAATCAAAGCATCAAAAAGGGAATGCAAATTAACATGGCATAAACCATTCAAAAACAAATCCCAGAAATTGTTACTTCATATAATGCTAACCACTACGGCTTCCAAGACCAAATTCAAATGGGTTAAGACTAGAACCCCATGACCAAGCCATTATTTGTAAATCAACAAGCTTACCAAACAAATAACTTAAACAATACTAGAGTAGAGGAACCTATCTAGAACTCAACAATTCAATTACAAACACAACAAAGCACTACACACGTATATAGATATATATGCACTATTTAACAACCTTTTCTCATAAAGAAGGGCAGAAACAAGGCTGGCAAAAGTTTCGGGCTTCATATTCCTCTCTTCTCGAAGCTGGTACAACTTGTGCCGAAACACAAGCTTCTGGTACCTACAAAACAAATAAACAAAACCACAGTGACCCCCAAAAAACATGAAATTTGCACACAAAAAAAAATCCAGAGATTAGTTACATAGTCTGAGCATCGGTGGCGAGTCCAGAGAGGCCGATGAAGAGCTTATCGTGAATCTTGTAAATTTTCTGAAAATCAGTGGCGATTGTCTGAAGCTGAACGCCGAGCCTGCGATCGCTCGCAATGGCGAAGCAATTCTTGCCAACCATGGCTACTACGGCACTTCCATTGTACTCGAAGATCTGTAAATCGAATCAAGCAATAAGAACATGATCTACAGTGATCTGAGCAAACTAGGGTTTCCGAAAATGAATAATATATATATACATAGAGAGAGAGAGAGAGAGAGAGAGAGAGTTGAAGAAGTGACATACCGACATTGAAGGAGATTATTGAAGCTTGGAACTGAGTTTTTCGGGGAAGCTGTGAATGGTAGACGATGAGAGCTTTTTTGCTCTTTTTTGTGAGTCGTGGCTTGGAGGGTACTCCTCCAGTTGGGGAAATGTTACGCAGAGACGGTCCACAACCAAATTAACCGGGCCGGTTTAACATTTTGAAAACCCGCATTCCGGTTTGTTTTCAGACTGGTTGGGTTTGTTCTTCAATATTCAACAACCCCCTTAGGGTGAGCATGGTCCGGATTGGATCGGATTGGGATAAAATCAGGACCAATCTGTTATCTACGGTTCCTGAAAAATCGGAACCAATCCGATCTGTTTAAATTTTGGAACCAATCCGAACCAATCCATTTCAACACGGATTGGATTTTTTTCCCAACTAATGAAGGTAGAATATTTATTTGCACAAATAAGGTATAATTTGAGAAGTGTTTTTTTTTTTTGGTTTATTGGTTTGTTATGAAAAAATATGTAAAAAATAGAGAGATTATATGACCCAAATAAGCTATTAAGCCAATAAGTTAGCTTTTTTTTGCCTCCCCAAAAGAGACCTAATACTGTGTTTGGTTGAGAAATTTAGGAAATGATTAAAAAAGAAAACAAAAAAAGTATGTAAAATTAAGTGAAATATAAGTATATTTTATTCACATTTCACCTATTTTTTCATTTTTCCTTTCCAAATCGGTTCTCAAATCTCCCAATCAAACATAGGGTAAATATATAAATCATTTATACATTCATCATTTTATAATTATTTTTCCACTCTCCACTTTTTTTATATTCTCCCTTTATTTTTATATATTCCCCTATTCTAATTTGTTCTTAATTTCTTTGATTTCTCCTCCTAATATTATTAAATAATTATGTAAAAATAGTTTAAGACTTGTAAATTTTAAAATATAATTTAATAATTAAAAGTGTATTGACACATTGGGTATAGATGATCGTGTGTCCTCTTTGAACCTGTTGGATACCTATTTGAATCTGTTGGATCGTATGCCCTCTGATGAATCTTCAATGTTAAAAGTAAAATTTTAGAAAAATTATTCCATACTTCATGTGCACTGTCACGTCAATACCTTTGGCCTAATGAATAATTGCTCAAAATTTTAGCAATAACTATTTTAGATTCATTTTAAATTGAGTGTTATCTTTCTTGTCAAATAATAACAATACAAAATTTTATGTCACATTTAGCACAAAATTTGACAAATTGCTAAAATTTGACCACAATCATTCTATCTAACACAGTCCACAAATGGCGTGGAAGAAATGACATTTTAAACCATAAAAATTGCATTATTGAAAATAGAAGAGGGGCTTTAATTTTAAAAATGAATAAACTTAGACTTGTTTTGGAAAGATATAAATAAGTAATTTTTTGGCTTATTTCTTTGCTTTTTAGCTTATTCACAAATCATTTAAGAAGTGCTAAATAAGTAGCTTTTTGGCTTTTTTGAAAATTATTATTATACGATATCACATCACCCATAAAATTATAAATTTGTCATACAAAAATGCTTCAGACCTTTAATTGAAGACTACTAATAGGCCTCTAATGACGTGGCGCCGACATGGCAAAGACTGTTGTTAACTCGCCATTTTCTCTCTCTTTCTCGTTGATTTCAAAATTTAAAATCATTTTCAGAGTTTTACATTTTCAGAGTTTTCACTCTCTCTCTCTCTATTCGCTCATTCATTCTCTTCTCTCTCTCTCTCTCTCTCTCTATTTGTTGTTGTGTCTCTCTCTCTCTTCGACCTAGAGCTTCCTGACAAGCACAACTCTCCAACCCCGATGACGATCGAGTCTGGATCCGACCGAGCTATTTGTTGTTATGTCTCTTTCTCTTCGACCTAGAGCTTCCCGACAAGCGCAGCTCTCCAACCCCGATGACGATCGAGTCTGGATCCGACCGAGCCTCCCTCCATCCTCACTCACGACGATCGCCGGACTCGCTTCTCAATCCCAAAGGACTCACTTCTCTTGACTCTCTGTCTTTTCTCGACAAATCTGTCTTCTCTCAACTCTTTGTCTCTCCGACCAACCTGATCGACTCTTTGTCTCCGACCCGAACCAGCGACTCTAACCTAAAGGTATATAACTACAGATTGATTTAGGGTCAGGGCTTGTATGTATAGTATCTGTGTATATGTATATGTAATTTACAAATTGATTTAGGGTTTGAATGTATGTTTCAGTTCAATTTCTAAATCATCATATGAACTAGTTGATTGAATTAGGTTTTTTTTTTTTTTTTAATGAAAAAAAAAAATGGTCCGTTGTTGTTGATATATACAAGAATTCAATTGATTGACATTTAGGTTGGAGCATTTGAGCTGAACATTGATTTATATTGTTTTTTTTTTTTTTTTTTTGAATTACACATTGTTTTTTCAATTGTTGATGATATGCTATTGTTATTGTTGATATATACAACAATTCAATTGATTGATATTGAGGTTGGAGCATTTGAGCTGAACATTAATTTACACTATTTTTTTTTCAGAATTATACACTGTTTTTTCAATTGTTGATCATATGTTCTTGTTGTTGTTGTTGATATAAGCAACAATTCAATTGATTGATATTGAGGTTGGAGCATTTAAGCTAAACATTAATTTATACTATTTTTTTATATAGAATTATACACTGTTTTTTCAATTGTTAATGATCTGTTGTTGTTGTTGTTGTTGTTTTTGTTGTTGTTGTTGTTGATATATACAACACTTCAATTGATTACTATTGAGGTTTGAGCATTTGAGCTGAACATTAATGCACGATAAGGATACTTTCGCAGCTATACTGAGAAGAATTTCCAAGATACAAAAAACCAATAGACCTAAAAACTATGTTGTCTTGAGAGAGAAATGAATTCTGTCTGCTTTGCTCCTTTGTTGTACATTTGGAAACTCACTTATCCAACTTTTCGTTTTCTCAACAATTACATAAACAGAACCTCCCTCCAAGGGAAATAGAGAAAGAAGATTAAAAAATAAATAGAAAGAGGAAATAAAGAAAATATTTTGAGGCCAACACATTAACTGTTTGAACTATGTGATTATGTTGTCTTGTTTATATAGTGAATGAGGATATTGTTATATAACTTTTGTTTTTCACTAGTTGTAGATGTCCCTGTACGCCCCGGGAGGATGAGTCCCGTTCTGTTCATATTGGGTTCACTACAGTTCAGGACTCTCAAATTGTCACGGTTCTAAATCTGAACCAAAGAGTCCAAATCCGGCAAATCGTTTTGAGAAAACAGATTTTTTTGAAAGAAGTGCCAAACATGGACTGCTTTGCCAGATACAGAGTCGCTACCTAAATGTTTTATTTTGGGAAAATTTAGGAAACCCTGAATCATGCCAAAGGCCACGTGTTCGTCATCACCAAAGTTGCCTAGGCTCGAGAACTTGGGTACAAGAGGGGAAGGTTCCGAATTGAGCATCCCTGCTCGTCCGATCAAAGACCAGCCTCTACTAATCATGATATAATTTTTTTATACACATTATGTGTTCTTGTTCCGGTTATTAAACTAGCTTTACTATGTGATGCGCACAATCAAGTATAAACTAGTTTGCTCAATTTGGAACAATTGAACTCATGTTTGTTTGCGAAAATGGTTTAAATTTGCCACATCAAGTGGGCTTAAAGATTGCGGATTTGCCACCAAGCACAGTTGTAGACACCCCATTTTTGACCGTCCTTAAGACTTGGACGTCACCGTTTGAACACTCGGTGATCATCCATGTTTGTGTTCGTTTGGAGTTCCCGGAGGCCTCGGCTACGCGCCTTGCCTCAAGACCTCTCGACTCGACCGTGTTGTGTCTGGTTTTGCACCAAACACTTTGGAGTACTCTGTAAGTTCTATGCTTTAGCATCCTTGCATGCGTGTGAGTGTTGCCATGACAGCATGATTACCATGAGGCTAGCTGCTTATGTGATATAACTGCTTAAATTCCGGTGGATGGAGGTTGAATTACCTAAATTGGAATAGTGCATTAAAACTGTGAGTTTTAAGCCCACTAGATAGTGGCAAAAACCATCTTTTCTAAAGCCCACTTGAGGGTGGCAAAACCTGCATTTTAGCCTACTTGCGAGTAGCAAACCATTTTCAAAACAAACATGTAATGTTTTGTTCCAATTTAGGCGATTTGGTCTATACTTGTTTGCTATGCGCATAACATAGTAATTCTAGGCTAATAAATGAATAAGAACACATAACGTTTTCAAAACTGGATATCACGGTTAGTAGAGCCGATCTTTGATTGGGCGAGAGGGGGTGCTCATAGCTGACCTTCCCCAATCGTACCCAAGTTCCCGAGCCGAGGTAACTTTGGATGTGACGGACACGTGGCCTTTGGCACCAAGTCAGGGTTTCCTAAATTCCCCCATAAAAAATATTTAGGTGGTGACTCTGTATCTGGAAAAGCAGTCCATGTTTGACACTTCTTTCAAAAAAAATCTGTTTTCTCAAAACGATTTGCCGGATTTGGACTCTTTTGTTCAGATTTAGAACCGTGACAATTTGAGAGTCCTGAACTGTAGTGAACCCAATATGAACAGAACGGGACTCATCCTCCCGGGGCGTACAGGGACATCTACAACTAGTGAAAACAAAAGTTATATAACAATATCCTCATTCACTATATAAACAAGACAACATAATCACATAGTTCAAACAGTTAATGTGTAGGCCTCAAAATATTTTCTTTATTTCCTCTTTCTATTTATTTTTTAATCTTTCTTCTCTATTTCCCTTGGAGGGAGGTTCTGTTTATGTAATTGTTGAGAAAACGAAAAGTTGGATAAGTGAGTTTCCAAATGTACAACAAAGGAGCAAAGCAGACAGAATTCATTTCTCTCTCAAGACAACATAGTTTTTAGGTCTATGGTTTTTTGTATCTTGGAAATTCTTCTCAGTATAGCTGCGAAAGTATCCTTATCGTGCATTAATGTTCAGCTCAAATGCTCAAACCTCAATAGTAATCAATTGAAGTGTTGTATATATCAACAACAACAACAACAAAAACAACAACAACAACAACAACAACAACAGATCATTAACAATTGAAAAAACAGTGTATAATTCTATATAAAAAAATATTATAAATTAATGTTTAGCTTAAATGCTCCAACCT